TTGAGGGGGATACATCCGAGACTGGTGTCAGGTCATGTAGATGTCTGTGATTTTCTAGGGAGGTTGTAGCAGGCGTCACCTACAGGTCTTTGCTTCTGAGGTGTCCTGAGCTCCAGAAGGAGCATCCGGCTGCAGTGCGGGGTGGATCTGAGCTATGCCACTGCTTTTGTGCAGAGAGCTGTTCTCCCTGTGGTCGGAAGAGTTCCTGTGCCTCACACAAATGGTCCTTCTTGACCAGTGTCCTGCAGTTTTGCAAAATATAATTACATGTCTCTGGCTGCTGAGTTCATGCAGTGGAGCAGGTGATGCTCAGGAGCACTGCAGGAGGGGAGCCCAGTGCAGCCGATGGTTCTTTACACCCTATAGGGATTTTGTCACGTTACAGTGGCAGAACATGATCAGACCTCGTAGAGCAATGTGTCAGGCTGATACTGTGTTGGGGGAAGTGTTTTCAGGTAATTTGCAGGCCACCAGTGGGATAATCATAGTCCAAAATGTTCTACAGCCAGTGTTCAAGCAATTCAGGACCCAGGATCCAGTACTGGGGACCTGACCCCAGCATGGGGGTGGGAAGTCTTGTAGTTGGAGAAGAGTAAGAAAACCTAACATTAAGTTCAGGAAGACTGCTGTAACGAATGAGCTGAGACTGGAACTCTGTTTTCAGACATTCTCATGTTTTCCAAAACACTGTCACGATAGGAGCTACAAGGAAGGTGTAGAGGATGGCTGGGACCAAAGCATCATTTGGCTTCATCCATTGTGCTAAGAAATGCAAGACCACAAAAGATTTTCTGTGTTCATACAATTAAGGCAAGGTCAATTTGTTATGGTTCTCAACCAGTTTTGTAAAATGCTCAGGCAGACCCTAGTCCTACATGCTAAACTGTTTGCAAAGTTTGTTTAGTTTCTGAACTGGTAACTACTGAGGGGTGGGGAGGGGAATGGGCAAGCTGTGGTGATGGTTTGGGGTTTTGTTGCAGTAAGGTGGTCATTCAAGCAGCAATTTTATATTGGGAAAATAGTATTTTAAAAGAAAACAGAAGGTATTTGTATAATGTTGACTTTGTTTCCATTCATTGCTATATCTTCATTTTAGATTATGCATCCCTCTCTAGTATTGTAGTAGGAAAAAACAAAACTGAAGAATTTCCTGACTTAAGAATAAGGACCATGTGTTGTGCCGGGAGTGATGCGTTCCCAAGTACAGCTCTCTGGCATTCGCAGACTGCATCAGATGTATTTATCTTCATGACGATGTATTTGCCTTCAAAGACTTGAATGTTCACTTTCACTGTATGGCCATCATGCTCTCTTAGCTGTTTTCATCAACTGTGAAATAGCCGGTGTTGGCCTTTCCGTTGTCTTCATGTTTTAGCTATGAGTGGAGGCCAATTGCACTTGCCAAATATTTCCAATTGCTGGCCCATTTATGCAGACAACGCTTCCTAGTACTTGATTTGCATTTGATTATTATTTTCTACACTGCATATTTGAATGTGCTTTTAAAAATTGGTTGGAAGTGCCTAACTTCCCTATAGCCCAGCCGTATATGTTGAATTAATAATGTAAAAAGTGCATGGTGGAGCCTTTGCCCTGTCATTGCTCAGTTATACTTGCAGCTTTAGAAGATTGGGATCACTTAAATGCATTTATGACGTATTTGAATCTTTAATGACATTTGTCAACATCAACCTGTGATTGTGCAAAAGTTACAGCAGTTTCCCGATCATTTAAAATTGCCATGTTGAACTTGTCTCCATCACATGCTTGGGACCTAATGGACACCATCTTTCCACCAAGATAGTTTGGGGAGACCCTGTTTGTCCCATCGTCTATAAAGCACAGGGCATGGCTGATGTCTTTGGCTACCTGAGAGTTCAAAAAATCCCAGATTCTGCAATGACCTCGTCCCTCTTGCACTCTTCATCTCTCCAGCTCTTCACTTCTAGCACCTTATTTTGGAAGGTTTTGGGCTTTTGCTTCAGGTTTTAAACTGGATACGGGCTGTTGGAAAGCAAAGTGCAACGCCCCTTTGGTATAGCAAAGTTTATCTGGAATTCATTAAAGTAACTTCATCAATAAGTGGTGGGCGTGGGGTTTGCAGGTTGTACAGCCTACAGTAATGCAGTTTTACACTCATATTGACAAAATTATCTCTTCCTCACTAAATACGAACATGTAAACATTCCGTGGACATTACGTATCTGCTCATAAGACACTGGATCGTTCTTAAGTTAGTGCCACTCTTCGGTGCAGTCTGGGGTTCAGAAAGCAGAACGCGTTTTAAAGAAATAAGTTTTCACTGGATTATTTCCGTTGGAAATATTCAATTGCTACTTTTGAAATCTTAATATGTATTTTTCAGATGTCCTGAATTTGTTTCTTTGTCCTGTAAGGAGCTTGAAAGAAAATGAATATAGACAAATTATTTCATAAAACCTGTGAAATGGCTGTGGATTGACAGTTAAATCTGTAATAGTGAATACATTCAATTTTCCCCTTTGTTCTCTCAGCAGTCACTTGTACTCTAAATGTCTATTTAATTTTTAAGTAGATTAACAGGAAATGTTTGCATTATTTTATTATTGAATTGACTTTTCCAAATGATGGATCTTTTCCTCAAATGTTTATGTGATCTTGAAAATGTTTTTCCATAAGGGGAAAATGCTAAAAATGAATGGGGAACATACTTTGAGTTATTTGTAGTATATGCGCATAATGCCTCATCTGAAATCACTACACACTTGCCTTTCGTTGGGGGGAAAAAAAAAAGCAGTTTGTCATCTGTACTGCCTGCCAAAATTAGATTCAGATAATCCTACCTTTTTGAGTAAATAAGCAGCAGATTGGTCTTAAAAATGAAATTCAAGTAAGCTCTTGATATGTGATATAAAAAATAAATAAGCTAATATGTGAGCAACATAGAGCATTTCAGTGATAGATGATAATATAGATTACCTTTGTTGTTTACATAATTAGGCTGGGCAGGGAAAGGAGAGGGAGAAAGAAGCGTTAGCAAATGCTTTTGTTTAGTCCTGTGTGGTGGGGTTGGTTGTTTTTTTTTTTATTTGGGATTTTTTCTGCGCTCCGTGTGCGCATGTGGTTTGCAGTGCACGGATGAGGAATTGTATAGGAAATTTGCAGCTGCTCTAGTTATTCAGTAAGATTTGTATAAGCTGGCACAAGGGACAAAATTAGAGGGAACTTGAACGAGTGCCGTGCAGTTTATTAGCTAGGCAGCCATAATTTTGACCTTGCTGTGGGTTAAAGGACACAGACCTGAGAAGAAATCTGTTTATCATGTAGGGAATTCATGCCATCCCTGACAGTGTACAGTGAGCAAGATGGATGATCTGCCAAATTGGTCCCTTGCATGGGTGAATCAGGGCAAATTTACAGTACAATTCCTTTGCTGCTCCTGATACAAAAATAACATTTGCTGGGTTTTATATTCAGTTGTATGATGACCTAGGGTGAACAGAGAAAAGAAATAAGATTTGTAGATCCGTATTGCCTTAAAGATTTATATGCGCCTTGCTTTCCTTTTATGTCTGCCTCTTTTGCATCTTCCATAAAACACTTAAGGAAAAAGTCCAAGTGCTTGGTTTGAGAGAGCAACTTCAGTGTGTCAGGGAACCTCTCTTAAATACAGCATCATGAAAGCTTCTATTACCTTGAACACCACAATTATACCGTGCACCCTGCTTCAGTGGAACCCTACTTTTACTTATGTAGTATTTTCCTTTAGTATTTGGGATATGTTTCCGTGCTACAGGAGCTGCGTGTTCTGTAATGATTTGACAGTATTCTGGATAACAAACAAACAAACTTGAAAGAAATTTGCTGTTTTGTGGTAGTGACGG